ATTTCATAATAGCGATAGATTTCATGCAAACAATCCGATAAATTGCTAGCCTTTCCAAGCCTTGCGACTATTTCCTAGCACTCTCCTCTGCGGAGGCGTTGTGTTTTGTTTTGGGAGGTTTTATTGCAAAAAATTTTTTCTTAAAAATATCAAGTTATATTAAGAGCCCCCTACCAATCGCCACAAAAACCATTCTCTCAGAAAGGCTAAATCCGTAGAGAATTTTTTTGGGGAAGGGGTACAGGTTACATGCTCGAAGCTGAAACTGATTAAGTACGTTTCGACTGAGGAAAAAGACGATATACTGGAGGAACTTGATTTGTGAAATCTCGTTAAAGCAGTTGTAGATATGGTTCCAAGAAGAATAGATTTAGTTTAGATTTTTAACTGTTAAATACATGTATGTATCGTGCATGAATATTTCTTCTCAGACTTATTCTGTATCGTATGAAAAAGCAACGCAATTTTGAGAATGCGGAAATGGTGTCTCATAGAACCTAAAATGATTTAAATGCAACATTTCTGATCAAAATCACATTGGGATCCCCCCAGCATCACAGAGAGGAAATAAGGTGACACTGACCCCTCCTCCTATTTTTCAAGGTAACTTTTCCAATTTATTTAATTCCGAGTAGAAATGTCTGGAAAATCCATGTCTTCGATGTACTTTATAATCTTCTGAATTCTGCTAGATTTCACCTCGAAAATGCATGAAATCGCAATTCAGGGACCCTAGATTTCAAAATTGTCCAGACCCCGGATCCTCCTAGACGGTCTCACGCCTTCGCGGGTTCTCAAAATGTCATTGTTTACTGTAGTTATTTTATAAACAATTACCAAATGGCAAATGGTTTTCCAAGCAGGATAGCGTGATCCATATGCACTTGGGATGTTCCTCGACTTTCGGAAAGCGTAAAAATACACTCGCCTGCGGCTCGGGTATTTTTACGCTTTCCGAAAGTCTCGCGACATCCCTCGTGCATGGATAACGCAATCCTGCACGGAAAACCATTCGGTATTTCTTTAATGTGAGATTGACAATGAAAGAAAAAAGAAATTGAAGTACTGTGAAAAAGTAAAAGTGTCTACAATATCTACAACATTGTGGTGTGGTCATATTGATCAGAGATTGTCTTCTGAGATGTTTCCACTTGGACATTTGTATCTCGCGCCATGTTAACCATATTATAAATATTCTCTGCAGTTTCTTCGCTTTCTAAAGGTTCGTCATAGTAAGGAAGAAATGGAACAAATTTGGAAAATTTCCATTTTTTCGCAACACCGAATGGTAGGTCATAAACCTGAACAGAAGCAACATTCTTTACAGCTTGACCAGTGGCAAGATTACGCCATTTCTTAATTCCTCTTTCTTCTTGTGTTCCGGGAATGAGGTTGTCAAGGAGGCAAGCAATTATTCCACCAACAGCCATACTGGTCTTCAACAGCACCGTAAATATTTGGTCTAATTCATCAACACCTATATAAAAACACATTAAATGTAAATAATAACATATAAGTGATATTCTCGTGCTTTTTCTTTATTCGAAGCATCTATTACGCCGTTTACGCGTTTGACAAGACAGGTTATCCATCTGGGCGAACTAGGACAGACTTCGTTGAGTCCCTTTAGGATTTCCCTTTATCGATCAGTTCAGAAAACTCGATTATTGTAAAATTCCTAAGGCTCAGTATTAGATAGATTACCAGTGTCAATGACTCCTTCATTCTTTCCGAGATAATCAGGAATGACCAATCCCATTATGATAGCGAAACCAATAATAAAGAGATTTCGAACAGAATTGAGATTAACAAATTGCAAGTTAGAGATTCCCACTGCTGTTATTAAACCAAACATACAGCAGAAGACTCCACCAATCACAGGATCAGGAATGGTAGAAAATAATGCGCCAAATTTTCCAATTAAAGCTAAGATTATCATAAATGATGCTCCAAATTGGACGACACGCCTGCTGCCAACCTGCAAGTATACAGTTATGTGGTAATATAAAAATTATTTAGTGCCCAAATATTAAAGGGTAAGGAGAAATTGCTTACGAAAGTTGAAGATTTTTTTCAAATTTGGGTGCCATTTATTTTTCGTGCAGACACAGATTTTGTACAGCCCATTGAAATGAATATAACTGGAATGGAACGCTACCTCCAACCCGAATCTTGAAGCCAAACATGAAGGCCAGTCCCAGTTTTTTCACGCATATGCGAAGAGCGTGTCAATCATGACATAAATTGATATGCGTGTCTGGAGGTCAGATTTGGCTTCAAGAAAAAGATCGGCAGTTTATCAACTTTATCTGAAGGTAGCGTTCCAATTATGTTCATTTCAATGGTACAGCCTCGCTTTGATGTCATTGCGTGCTTCTGAGCTGTGTTTGATGGTGGGAAGAACTATAGTATTTGTATGGCGTTACTACCGAAACACTAAACCTTTGAGACGACGCTACTTTGAGTGGCTCGACATTGGTTCGCAAATATTTGTATAGAATCATATACATATATAAATATAAATGTGCGGAAAATTTGTAAACTGTAGCCAATTGAGGATTCCTCTTATTACGTTTTCGTAGCGCTTTGCATTGTGGTGATAGTGGTATCACTGATATTCAAGATGGCTTATTTTTTGTTCTGACCCGTGCAAGAATTTTTAAAAAAAGCTAGGGTCAGGTGCGCGATAGCCAACAGCAAAATATTCGCGAAAACATTCAATATTTTCATTCGAGGTCGCTATCTTTATCAGTGATACCACTATAACCACAATGCAAAGCGCTACGAAAACGTACTGAAGGGGAATCTAGAATTGATGTCAACTTGAAATCTAGCCAAACAAACACCGCGGAATGATGGGCCGAAGATTGAAATGTGTGTGATGGGTGTGATGGGAATATTGAAATGAAGTTGGGGAGGCTCTGCCAGATAATGCGACGAGGTATGGTTTTTGAATCAAACTAGCTGTTTGACCTTTTTTAAGCTTGAAATCGACGGAAATGTGAAAGAAATTGAAATGAATCTTCATAATCTGAGTATCGAAGTTCAATAGAGTCATTTTTATAAAGAAATGTTGCAATTAAGACGATATTTTATAATCCGATAGCTCGTATCCATTGATATTCGTTTGCAATTTCTCAATATATTTCGATGCAAATGGACAGAAGAAGATATTGAATTCACCCCAGGATACTCAAGTACGCCTGAAAATGAAAGTCGATATTGGCAGTCAATATATCCCGGGCGTTCTGTGACCCCCGTGCGCGATCATATCAGATCATGTCAGCGGCATCTGGTAATTACTAAAATAACATCGCCCGAAGTTCGAAGTTTTATATTTAAAATTCCAAAGGAATTTTATCGTTGAAAATCGCTGAATATTTTTCATGTACAACTTCAGAAAGTGAAAATATTTCCAGATGCATATGCATGGGCCATCATCATTCGAATATTTACCATCAAAGAACAAATATGACTGGTTTATAGTTTATTTTGTCTAAACTGATGCATTGCAAATTACATCCTTGGAGAAAATCTAACGTGACTAACCTTGACGTGGCTAAAAAAACAGTAAATGCCATACCATCACAATATTTACTAAATGTCTGCGGATCCTTTTATTTATATGTTACTGTATATTCTGTATATTCAGATTTTCTGCATTTGTACTTTAGCGAGTGCCGGTGGCACGGCTGTCTAGGGCGTTTCGCGCATTCTTACATGCTGCTAATTGGTGGTTCGAATCCCACAGTGACTAATGTTTTGTTTTTCGTTCTCATATTTTTTTCTTTAAGATTTTTCCTAAGATTGCCTTTACAACACAAGGGAGTTACTACTGTATGACTGTAAATTACTATTATTAAATTGCCCCCTTTTTTCAAAATTCGATAAATTATTGCGCCATTTAAAACTCTTTCCCGACAGGTCCCTATTAAACAAATCACTCAAGATTTATCATTTTTGCGGTTCATATCTTCAGTTCGGTAAATGCTACGTGGACCAAAATACCACCATTCGATTCAGTGTAACGATAGCTACTCATTCCTATCGATAGATTTAGTGAATGGCAACATTATAGCGATTTATGAGCTTTGAAAGTCAAACGAGCTCGTATATGAATAAATATGATCAAATTACGCAATATTACTGACCAGACTGCAGAGTATGGCAGTTTTCGACGATATCTCGGGTGTGCAAGACAAAAATTCAGGTGTGCAAGTGTGCAATCCTCAGTTAACGTAGTCAAGTGTGCACTTGTAAATAGCTACATGTTCTAATGATATTAAACAATGATTGTTTATTTGTACAAATAACTAAAATTTCTGCCTCTCAGGAAAACAAAACGTGGTCCAAATTCTGACGAACAAACAAGAATATATATTTCGATCGGAGTTAAAAGTCATTATGAACACGTACAAAATAACCTGTTTTTGACACACTTTGTGTCCTGTAAAAGGAAAATGTGCATGTCCTTGTAATTGAGTTGTAAATGAAAAAGTGTGCACTCGAAAATGCCATTTCCGACAATGTAGGGACTCCAAATTCCAATTATAAGTTCTCTTGTGCCCATGCTTACATGCTATACGGTTTTGTTTAATCATAACAACCTGATGATCGCAAAACTCTGCTGTAGATAGAAATTCGAAACTTTAATGGACATTTTTCATTTGCGCCCATGAATCAGCGTTCCCGATTTTCAGGTAGTTCATAGTTGTTATATTACACTTGTCTTAGAAGTCCTTATTTTAATGCCTGACAAAACTGGAAAATATTTGAAATATGTTTAAGTGTGCAATACCATTGGCCAAAAAAAATCTCGGGTGTGCACTTGCCGTACTCTGCAGTCTGGATTACTGACAAATTATAAACATAAACATACCTTTCGCCGAATATAACTTCGTCCCATTGAGACGTACGCTCATTCTGATAATCTTGCTGTATGAAGCAGTTAAAAATAACACGTATAGTGTTATTTTCAAGCTTCTATCTTTAAAATTCGACATTTAGTGCCGAATTTTGTATTTCTGCTCCGAATATGCGTTAATCCCAACCGGAAATACGACGAAAAACCGTCAAAATAATGCGACGCTTGTATCGCGTGACTCTGGAAATGCCAGAAATGGATTCTACAGGTCAAAGTGCACCCATACGCGTGAGTTTTACGTCATCCCGGCTAAAGGGAGCTCCTTATTGGCCAAGTATTACGTAATACAAGCGCGTGCTAGTAAAACCCGATACTTTAAAAATTCAAAATAAATATTTCTATTCGGCGTATACATACGAAACTTTCTACACGAAAGCGCTTGAATACAAAGAGTATTTTACACATATCCTTTCAGGAAATGACACCAAAGTTTAGAAAATATTCAACTTTTTCTCATTTTCTCCTTTGAATGTTTGGCGAAGCAGTGAGTATAAAATATATGATTGTTTCGGTTTGTGTAATGTTTTGACGGCACTTGACCCCCCGTTCGAAAGGTTATATTGTGAGGATTTCAATGGTGGCATTTATTTAAAAGGGGGGTAAATACTCGCCGAGATATTTATATTAGAAAAATTGAATTCGAAATGTAATACGAGACAGGTTGTCGAGAAAGAGTTAAGGCATTTTGTAGTTCGCGCCAATTTCCATAATTGTGTTAATTAATGCTAAATGGTAATAAGTACTTAGTCTTGCAATGTTGAGTCGCTGACATCATCTGATTTGATCGCGGACGGGGGTCACAGAACGCCTGGGATAAATTGACTACCCGCCATATTGATTGCATTAACTCGCAAAAGCTTCCTTTTATCCTTTATTTAGCTCTTCCCATCACTCCTTGCGCGCTCACTTTTCCCTCACTAGAAACTTCATGTAAGCCTCTGCGGAGGAGAGAGTTCCGAATGTTGTCAAAAACTCAAAATGGAAGCGACTTCGATGTTTTACCTTTTCTATGAAAATGCAAGCGGAATAATGAACATGACAACCTAAAAACTAGAAATAATTATAGTCTACATATGCAAGAATTAAGTAGTATTATGCAAGAAAATAAACCAAAGGTGACTGTTGATAAATTTATTGTTTAAACGTTTTTTAACTGAACCATACAAATGTATTTTTCGTGGGTTCATATGATGCACATTTTTGTCAATAACTTTTTTTGCGTAGCATGTATAAATTTTGCGTTGACTATATTTAAGGATAATGATTTACTCTGCAATTTAATCGTGTGCAAATGCTTAACTTTTCTATAGTTTTCTTAACTTTTTCGCTTTAAGTTCGGTATTCGACAATTTTTCAAGAAACGTTCACACGCCTCCCGGTCTTAAACGGTAATTTTTAATTTAAATTCTGTTTCTTTTCTGTTGATTTTAAATGTTAGAAAACTTTTTATTAATGTCTAAACTTCCCTTCTGGTGTATTTTCTGTTTGTTTCAATTACCTTAAATAATTAAATAGCCATGTTTTTGTTTACAATTTGGCATTTAAATTTCTCGCCATCATTTTTGTGCCCCACGCATGCGCAGACGTTTTCCCGCGGTGTTAGCCAAACATGGATAGAGCGTACTGACAATAATTAGGTCTCTCTTACCTTAGTTATTCCTAGAGCTCCAATATTTTCACTAAACGAAGTAGTTGCATTTCCAGTACCAATAGCGCCCGCGAGAAAACATGCAATGCCCTCAACACCAATCCCACGATTCATAGCGTGTGACGGAGGTGGTGGTGCTCCAGATAACCTTGCGCATGCGTAATAATCTCCAATAGACTCTACAACACCAGCAATAACTCCCGCTAGCATACCAAATACACCAGCAAGACTTACAGTTGGAGTTCCCCATTGACCTAAACATCAAAACATTTTTAAGAATAAAAGGATTTCATAACCTCCCCCACATGCATCGCCTTTAATAGATTGGCGGGCAGAATTCGGTTAGCAACCCAGGTGAACTACGAGTTGTCTGCGGAGAAGTAAGTGTCTTAAAATGCGAAAGGTTTTAAAGCCATGTTATCGAAGGCTTATTTTTATAATTATGACTGCACTGAGTAGAGAAAATTCAAAGTGACTAATAAGATATTTTGCCAAACTGTCTTTATAGCTTCAGTTGTCTCTTTCTTGAGATATTTCACAAAGTTTGATATGCAAATTATCATCACTATGACGTCAAATTGCATATATAATAATGGTCATGACATTAACTTTTTTCAGAAAGTCAATATGTAATGTGCGGGAGAGTGAAGAACGTTACGAAGCAAGCTAAGATAATCATGCAATCATAAAAAAGACTTGAAATGTCGTTGCATAAGAACTTTAATTTAAGGGTGAAATGATCGAGCATGCTAACAGTTTTATATGAATGCATTGCTGCATGCAGAAACTGTGCTGAAACTGTGTTACAAGTTTCAGTAATAAACTAATAGCCTCGTTTAACATGGTCTTTAGATTAGGCAGGAGTACACAGATGTAGTAAACTTTTCTTTTCTGTGCAACTTTATCTTGTTTTAAACTTAACAGAAGTCCGACTCTGTGCCGGTGTCTTTGACGTCATGATGGCGTATCCGCCCTCCATGTTCCTAGCCAAGGAGAAGCCGGCACTCTCTGAAAACATTCAAAGTGCCCGCTGGGCTTGGTTTCGTTCAGGGGGCGAATGCCTCTCGTAAGCGCACTAGCTAGGAACATGACAACAGCATTGCGACTACATCGCAGCCGGTGACGTGTTGGGGTTTTTTGGCCGAGTCGTACCTCTGTAAAGTTAAAGTATATACTCTGTATCAGTACATAGTAGTGAATTATGTTTACTTCATGTTATACCTGGATAAGGAACTCTAAACCAGGGTGATTCAGATAAGACACCAGATCTTGTATCTGTTCTAGCTTTTGACATTTCCGAGAATACATTTGTTTCAGTCAAAATTGCGCACAATATCCAACTTATTGCAATTGCAATAATCACCTGAGGAGCAAAAAGTAGTCTATTAGAGCTGCTTGTGTGAATATCAGGATTCTGGGCATCTACACATTTACCCATACACTTTATACATTGCATGGCGTCACCTTAGTTTCCTTAGTTACATAAATTTGTGGTTAGAGCTCCACGACTGGCCACTATAGCTCAGTCAGCTAATAGAAGGACCGCAGGTTCGATTCATGGGCCTATAGTTGCATTCGAGGGCCTATAGTTGCATTTTTCGCAACTACTCTTGGTTAGGTCTCAGAGGTTAGGTCTAATAAATGTATAAAATTCACACTCTAATTTTTGTTAGAGCTGCTGCCGATATTAACCGTTTAATCAATTTTTCAGCAATTGGTTATATGATAAACAAGAGCCGTCCTTTGATTGAAACAAAACTACTATATATAACACTGGTGCGCAGCCTAAATTTTTCTTTCAATGATCAATGAAAAATGATAGAGATTAATCAATTATTAATCAATTATTGATAAATTATTAATCGATTATGAATGTACGCAGGGCGCAACTCAACCTCGTTCCCAGGATATGGTAAATCTGCATGCGATGAAAGTTAATTGGGCAGAATGAAGTTGTCTGGCATTAGCCAGATAGTCGAATTCAATATGGCGGACTTGAATGGACACGCATGAGAAAAAGTGGAAACATAATTCGTGATCAAGTATACGCATTCTATATATCTGTTATTTATATAAGTCAGAAGTAATAGTCCTGTTATAATAAGTTAATGGATTTTCAACTCACTGGAAATAATCCAAATATAGCCACGCCTGTGGTGTGAAATCCTCGCAGTCGAGAATAAGCAGGAAGAGGGACTTTAACACGTGACAATAATTGTGAGCAAATTCCAATTACTGCAATTGTCCTAAAAACACGACAAAATCTTGTTGAAAACGGTTAGTTGAGATAAATTATGTTCATTTTAGAGAGGTTTTTCTCGCTATTCTACTCAGTCTGGTAAATGAATGAGTTCCGAAACAATGTATTCGACGCTGGTTCTTTATCAGGGATGATCTTTCGTTGTTTCCTGTTATACTGTACAACGTGATTCATTTTTGACGTTAAGTCAGTATACTTACAACACTGCAATTCCCCAGTGCGCCCCTGCAGAATAAGATGAATTGTATCAAATTAATGCATAACAATTACGTAGATCATGGTATGTCCACTTCCTATTTTAACGTGCTTAAAATAAGTTTCGTGTTTTACCTGCAAAATCCGAGCAAACTGCAAACAGTGATAAGCCAACCAACGCAATGGTAGGAGCAACTGTTATAGGACCAATAAAACGTAAGAGAACACCAACCAATCCCGTGAAGCCCACGAAAATTTGAAATAGGGAGGATAGCATGACTGCACCTTGAATCTGTAAACAAAATGCCTTTCTCACAACATATAAAATAGATTCAGATACTTTCATGACATTTTATGAAAGAACATAATTTTATTGCTCAGTAAATATTTTGCACACAAATATTTGGCCATCGCAACCTGGATATATAAAATGTCGTAGAGGCAAAATGAGAAGCTTGCGTTAGCCTAATTTTTCACTGGGAAAATTGAACCACTGAGCGGGTATTTACACCGGCAGTTTTGTTGGCAAATCAATGAGACACAGACAAAATTCTGGCTGGGAAATAGCATGACTGGGCAGTTATAATAGCAATATATATACCGAAAATATCGATTTATGTTCGAAAATAATACATCCAAATTAAATATCCATTCCTATCGAAACGGATATTGTGCTGTAGTTAAAAGGCAATAAAGAGTGCATTATGGACAAGTTAATTCGCCATGAGTTCTTCGAAATTGAGCTCTTTCACTTTACTTCGTTCAAATGGGTGTGCGTGATGTGATCGTTAACTGCATTGAATCTGTTTAAAATAACTTTATTTTACATATAATTTACAATTATACTAAATACTATATATATACTATATATTTATCCACTCATACATGGGCTATTTTATTCCAACCTGATACTCAGGATTTTCACCTCCGCTCCCCTCCCCGCCCCAAGTATACCGAGGCCCTGAAAGCTCTCAGCACTCCCCTGTTTCTGTGACGTAACATAACATTTGTGAATACAACCAGTGCGTAGATTCGGAAATTAAAACTCAATTTCAATGTCGATATAATGATATTTTATCAATATCACAACAGTCTAATCTGGCCTTCCACCACTCTAGACCCGCCTTACCCATGAACTAGACAAGAGTTTAAATAACATTTATGGAGTGCGTAGTCGTAGGTGTACCCTGGGAACCAGTGGGATATATATATAAGAAGATTTCTGGGGAAATCAGTTCGCGTTCGCCAAACCTTTAAACAGCTCAGGGCCATGCAGGTACCGTATATAGGTGAAGCTACTCTAGCCTGCAAACAGGCGTTTATTCAGGTGGGCCCAGTTCGCAGGCTAAATACTCCATCATTGCATGTCATACTAGGGTGAAGAAAATATCAACATATATGGATCATGGCCCACCTCTCTCATACGAATTTTCCAAAGTTCATCTGAAGTGCTGTTGGATTCTATGAATATAATCATAAATTTGCACAGTGGCTATATTTACAAATTTATACACAGAGAATAAGATATTCCCAAAAACGGATAAAACCTGTTCCGCCGCCACCGTTTATACGAATATACAAGGGAGAAATTCAATTCAGTTGTTTAGTACAAATTCAGGTGGTGGCAAAGCGAGCTCAAGGAACCACAAGGCTTATCAGTGAAGAGGCCGGTCCCCTCGTAATGTTTAGTTAATTTAATAGTAATTAAAATATCATGTATAAGTATTGATTTAGAACTATTAAATTTATCAAGGTTACCGTGGCAGAGCAGTTAGGTATAATTATACTAGTATATATATACGAGTATTATAATACTATAATATTGTGGGGCAACACAGTCACACAGATAAAAAGCATCAGTTTTTGGAACAAATCAAATTGAATAGGATCTAGTTTTGAGTTTTCCATTCAAAAGGTTTAAAAAATAGATTTAAATCTGTAAACTAAATATTAAAGTATCCTTTAGGCAGAAACAGGGGCAGATTTGGTATATTTGATGTCATGGCTGAAAACATTAAGAGGATAGTTAAGCCCCCTCCAAGTTTCTCCACAGTTTTGAAAGAATTACAAAATTGGTCCTGAAGATGCATTAAAAATCGTAACTCTAAATTTACCTTTAAATCCTGGCGGACATTGAAATTTAGGCAAGGATAAAATTGCAAATGTTGGTACAAGATACGAGAACGTACTGCCTTGTATGATTGGAAGTCTATAGAAATTTAACAAAAAGACATCCAGATATTAGATATATATTATTATGTATAAATTTCCCTCCAATTGGTAGGTTTCAGTAAGCGTTCGCAACAGTGGCGGCGCCACGGGGAGGACTGGCGAGGACACGTCCCCCGAGTTCTCTTCAAGGTCAATTTTCTAATTTGTCCAAATCCGGTGAGAAAAATGGGGGGTACGTTTGTGACACAGTCCAGTTATTTAGATCTAACTTGATAAATTCAGTCTTTATTGTGTGACTAAAAACCGGGATTAAAAGATCATGGCTTTACTTTTGACAAAAATCTGTTTCATATATGCGGTATTTACCATTAGCATATTGCAGGCACTGATTACGGCCACCATAATGGTTTAATATATTACCCAAATTAAGTGCAAGGGGCAATGTGTGATGCGGAAGTTTGGTCCTGCTGCTGAGATGTGAGGGAGATATGTTAATTAATGCACCGTTCGCCCAACGTATGGTCATTAGCTTCTTGAAACGCATCACTACACAACTGAAAGAGAAAAATGTTTGAAGGAAGAGATTCATCAAGTGAAATTGTGTGTGAAGGAGGCAAATAGAACCTTCGTTTTCGAATATGGACGGTTAGACCTGTCTTAGATTTTTCAACATCGGAAATATCGGTGAGAAAGTTTACATTCCAAATTAAATGGTACGAAGACTACATATGGCTGGAATATTCAATGTAACAACTGGAAGATTGCATACATCAGCGAAGAGAAGGAAATATCAGCGAAGAGAAGGAAAGGAAAGAGTCTAGAGAAAGGGTGCAAAAGAAAGTTTCCACCCTGGATCTGGTTGCCCTACTTGCTCGACGTTTTCAGCAAAGATGATCTGCACCACCTTTATCCCGACTTGTTTGAGGTCGCTACCTTGCCGGTGATAGTGGCATCATGTGAGCGCACGTCCCGCAGCAAGGTCAAAATAATAAACAATGATTTGCGAGTTGCTATGTCATCTGATAGACTCGAGGACCTTGTCCATATTAGCAACGAACGAGATCTAGCCAACAATATTGAACTTAGCAAATTGGTGGAAATATTTAAGCTTGCAAAACCTCATAAGCTTACAGTTATTTCCATTTGTATTTAAATATAAAATTATGTTGACTTCAATTTTCCTGGAAGTAGCAATTCCTTTAGGCAGCTGTCAATCGATGTATAATTAATCGTAGTCAATAGAATAAGAAGGTTATATAAGGAACTCGATGCAGACATAATAGACCTATCTATGTTTTGTCTTGGTTTATGCAAAAAAAATGGTAGGTTCATCGTCATGTGTGTATTGTATTTTCGCTAGAGTAACCAATAGTTATTATGTTTTTGTTTAGCCATTGTGTAATATTACGACTGGGTAATTAAACATCACACTGCTATTGGTAAAAAATACTACACACGTGACGATGAACCGATTGTTCCTTGCCTATAAACCAGACAAAAACATAGATAATGAGGTCTTTTGTTTTATGGCTGCATCGAGTTCCCTGATCTCATTCTATTGACTATCATGTAATATTACATTTGTAGGTCTTATATATGTCATATATACGTACAGTCATGAAAAAATTGTGTGTTTTGTTTACTTTATAATCTTTGGAATTCTGTATAATCTTACCCTGAAAATGCAGGAAATCGTATTTCAGGGACTCTAGATTTCAAAAATTTTCCAGGGGGGCATGGCCCCGGACCCCCCTAGAAGTGTCTCGCGCCTTCACCGCTCGAAAATCCCCCCCACTTTTAAAAGGCTGGCGCCGCCACTGGTTCGCAAGAAAGCATATATTACATGATGGTAAAAAGGCTGCTCTCCAGAGTGACGCGTTTTTCATGCGTGCGTATGCGCACAGAAAAGTTTAAATCTTTTCCAACTTAACACTAGTATGAATTATCTGTACAAATGCACATTAAATCATTCACAAAACTATATGCTTTCCTTTTATTCATTCAGTTATTTCATACGTAACATTTAAAAAGATTTAAACCTTTCCGTGCGTATACGCACGTATGAAAAAAGCGTGACTGGATAGCAGCCTTAACAGTTAATCTTAGAAATGTCGACACGTTTATAAACGAGCAAGTGTCTAAAGAAGAGCTCTCATGGTTCAAAATTCACAACCACTAGACACCAGTTCCGCTCATTTTAAAGTAATACTGAGTTAAAGTTACCTGTTACCAAAAGTAGTTTGTAAGAGAGTCGCTATTCCACTCATGAAGAATATTGTAGATATAAGTTTTCCAACGACTACGTCATCAGTGACACACAATGCAGGAGCTATGATGATGGGAACGGATATTGTGGCACCAAACATTGTCAGGTAATGCTATGGAAAAGGAAAGTCTGCACAAGGCTATATATATATCATGATACACGTGTACATATATAATCCAGTTCATTTCTTGTGATCAAGATACACAGTTCTCGTGTTTTTAGCCATATGCACTATAACCACCCATCTTTGATTAATCATTGCATGCATACCTTATTCTTAATTGAAAGTGAGTGACTTACTGATCCAAATACAAGTAAGTTACCTATATGGTGTCCCTCAGTGCACCATGGGAATTAGTTAAAATAGAGAGGTAAAAGAATGTGTTATGGATGTATATCAATCGAATGTAAAAAACTAAAATTGTTAATTATAATATTATCCTTCCGGGCACTTTTGTTATTGCTCAATTTAATATGCCCCATTAATTTTCATACATTAGAGTTTTGGCCAAAACTATACGAGAAGTGATGCCCTGATCAAACGAAAATGAGAGTGCCGGAGAGTTGGCAGTCACGCGAACTTTGTTTAGCTGCTATACTTGTTGCTATTTAATGATTTCCCAACACCATCATATATTACATGTTATACTAGGTTACCCACAGGGCAGTAATGCTGCCTTTGACAGCAAAAGACAAACTACAGGGTGTTGAACGAGTCCTTCAGAAACATCCTATTATTGTTATCCTAGCCTGCGTAGCGGCTCTGAGATCTCTGATAGCCGCTACGCAGGCTATTGTTATCATTGTTAACCCATTTATTGACAGCACGGCCCTACCACTGACTGAGCATTAAAAATCGTCTGGCGTTGGACAGTGTAAATACTAAAGTCATTACTGTGCTGATGGATTAACAAGAGCCATTGGTTTGTTAACCCATTTACTGGCAGTACTCTGTACCACTGACGAGTAAAATTTTCTGGCGCTGGACAAGGGAAGGGCGCATTGCCAGCTAATGGGTTAAACCACCGTGGTTAAGTAAGATTTGATGCTCCAGGAAATGTAAACAAACTATCTGTGTGACATCCCAGTTTATATATTTATATACTCGGAATATTGATTTCTCGGTAAATACAAAATTATTTTAAAGTATAACAACCAGCGAAGACGTAAGCCACTAACTACCCTGCGCGGCTGCGCGCAGACTATATAATGACATATATATGTTATCCGTCCGGTCCGTCCGTCCGTCCGTCATTCATCCGTCCGCCCGTATCCGCGTTTTATCCTAACTCGTTTTTAAAACACAAAGTTTGCATAATTAAGGCAGTGCGGTTCGTCATGATCAACATTTTCAAAAGCGGCCAATTAGACCAGGGGTTAAAGGGCAATGACAATGACATGCAGGTGACATTTAACATTGCGTCTCACTAATTAAAATTTGCGTGTTTATTATGAATGTTTATCAAAGAAAGCAAAAATATATACAAGACAATCTCACATGTGAAATTTTTCACTTACGTACTGCCTTGTGATGCAGTACAAGTATAAACACCAAATGACAAAACATTTGTAAATCCTAAAACATAATTAAATCATACGGCACATTCAAGATTTTAATATCGTATTTCAGCCGCGCGTTTATACTGCTTGGCGCATTCGCTGCGTTATATTCATTTATATACACAGAAAAGCATGTCATTGTCTTTGCGGACCATAGGCAAAAAGCATTCGTCAACCACATACCAAATTTAAGCAATCGTTAGATCATATACATGTCATGGAAAGAATATGAAAATAATGTTGAATGAAAGCTAGCATGTCGTATATTAAAAGCACCGCATATAGTGCTCGAACCACTGCGTATAATTGCAAAAGCACCGCGTATATAAATGGTGAAAGCACCGCGTATAATGCTGGAACCACAGCGTATAATGCGGGAACCACCGCGTATAATGGCAAAAGCACCGTGTATAATGCCGAAAGCACCGCCGTATAATG